CTGCAGGCCCTTGGCCACGGGAAAGCCAGCAGGGTGAGCCGGGGAAACTCAGCGACATCCGTCAGAAACCTCCCTCCCGCGCAGTTGGACCGCTTCTGACACAATCCTCCCACGTGGTTTGTGGCACAAAAACAAACAAACAACGAGAGGCAGGTTTGTGGATAAAAGTGTGTGGCAGGCTGCTGCGTGCCCGGGCAGGACAGAGTGAGGGAGCAGAGGGTTTGAGTGGGAATGGGGTTTGGAAAAGGAGGGTGTGTGGGTGTGTACTGGGCAAGAACTCATGGAGCCGCGTGGGAGAAGACAGGCCAGAGTTCAGGAGTCCTGGGGGTGGGCTGGGGCTGGACGAAGGCGCGGGCCTGAGTGTCTGACTTTTAAACGCGTGTTATCGGGAGCATAGATGTCCCAGCTTCTCAGAAGCCGAGCCCTGAGCTGCCATCAGGCCTCGTCTCTGGGCATGTCCTTCCCCGCGGGCACACGCCCACTTCTGGAGGCCGCCCAAGTGGCCCAGGGTCAGCCGGGCCAGAGCTCCGCAGCGCCCAGCTCAGAGGGGCCATGTGCCTGGGAGCATTTGGCGACTGAGGCTTGGGAAGGCGCGTGGGAGCCCAGCCTGTGGAGGGCGGGGCGGGGGTGTCGGAGGCTCCGGGTGAACCCCAGCTTCACCCCAACAGTCATCCTCACTGTTCCCTGGGGATAGATGGACCCACAGTTAGAGCCACACATGTTCCCAGAATTGTGCATCTTATCATTCCAAGAGCTGTTTAAAAAACACCCTTTTTGTGGTTAGATTACTTTATTATACAAGTGCATTTACCAGAAAAATGAGGAAAAGAGGGGAAACCTCACCTGTGTGTCTGGTTTAAGGATTTGGTCCTGGGCCTTTTACCAAACAGTCTCACACGGTGACCGCCTGGCAGCTTGTCCTTGTGCCGAGGGCTCCCGGGACAGGCGTGCCCCCCACACCCGAGTGTGAACAGCAGGCTCCAGCGGCGCTCTCACCCCCGCAGGTTCACGCTGCCTCCTGTGCGTGGCCAGAAACGCGGGGTGGGGGTGGGGGGACGGTCTGCCTGGCCTCCCGGGGCGGCTGCCACCCCCTCCGGTCCTGGGTTTTGTCGTTGGTGTCGTCCGAAGTCCAGTGTTTCCGTCTGTGCCACACCTTCCGCGGACTCCTTCCCGGAGCAGCTGCCCGCTGTCCTGTGACCGCGAGGTTCCTTGTGTGTGTTGGGCCGGCCGGGTGCTGTGCTCGGATCCACGGTGGGTGTCGCCACCCTCGTTCTGGATGTCACTGCACAGCCTCCCGCGTGTGGCCTGGTGGGTGAGGCTCCCGTGGTCCCAGCTGCGCCCCTTTAGCGGGAGCGTCTTGTTCACCTGGGAAACGGGCTGATGGCGCCCGCTGCCCAGGCCCGAGCGAGAACGTGGTGAGGTCACAGGTGGCAGATTGGCAGGTGCTCAAAGCTGTTGTTATCTGTGACAGGCTGCGTCACCGACCGATGGCCCCAAATAGCTTGTGTCCTGCTGTCCGGCCCCCCCTGGAGAGGCAGTGTGTTTGGGGAGGGGGCTCAGGCCTGCCAGGCGGGGGCAGAAAAGGCAACTTCCGTTGAGTTCGCTGGAGCCTCGCTGGTCCCCAACATCCCCCTCCCACGGGCCTGTGGCCACTGTGCTGTGGGGACACCCAGGCAAGCCCCCGGGGGACCCTCTGAAGAGCAGCCGCCCGGACACCCCCAGGCATTGCTGCCTGGCCAGGTTCTCCCCAAATTCCTGACCCACAGAAACAATGAGAGATGATAAGACTGTTTAAGCCACTAAGTCAGTGGTTCTCAACCTTCTGGCCCTTTAAATACAGTTCCTTGTGTTGTGACTCAACCATAAAATTATTTTTGTTGCTACTTCATAACTGTCATGTTGCTACTGTGATGAATCGTCATGTAAATATCTGATAAGCAGGATGGTCTTAGGCGACCCCTGTGAAAGGGTCGTTCGACCGCCAAAGGGGTCGCGACCCACAGGTTGAGAACCGCTGCAAGTTGAGGGGTAACCAAACATGGAGAGAGGGCTGTGGGTGCACCCCCCTCTCTCCCTGCCAGTGGGAATCCGAGCCCAGCTGAGCCTCTGGGCCTGCATGGCCCCCACAGTGGTGCTGGTGCCCATGTTAGCGTGGTCCCCGGGAGGGTGGTGTTGGCGCCCACGGTAGCCTTGGTGACAGTTCTCTTAGGGGATGTGACGAGGGGGGCTCCGAGCCCGCGGCACCCTGACCTCGTCTCCGTGAGGAGAGGGCGGTGTCCCTTTCGGACGGGAACAGGCCTCGTGGTGAGTAGGTGCTCCAGGCCACACAGGCCTCGTGGTGAGTAGGTGCTCCAGGCCACACACGAGTCCCCGTGGGGCCCGTCGGCAGCAGGAGCGGGTCCTGCCTCCCAGGCAGTCACCGGCCCCGGCCCGGCCCCGCAGGCAGTCACCGGCCCCGGCCCGGCCCCGCCCCGTGGTCCTGGTCCTGGGCCTCTGGTGCGGCCTGTTCCTCAGCCCCCAAGACGCTCCGACAGCCGCCCGGGGCCTGAGTCATCGGTTTTGTTGGTCCCAGCAAATATTTAATAAAAGATGGACGTGTCAAATGAACGGCTCAGCAATCAAAAAAATTTTCTTTTTAAACATATTTTTATTAATCTCAGAGAGGGAGGGACGGGGGAGAGAAACATCCATGATGAGAGAGAATCATTGACCGGCTGCCTCCTGCAGCCCCACACTGGGGATCGAGCCCGCAAATCGGGCCTGTGCCCTGACTGGGGATCGAACCAAGACCTCCTGGTTCCTAGGTGGACGCTCAGCCCCTGAGCCACACGGGCCGGGCAGCAGTCAAACACTGAGCCTCGGCCGTGTCACCGCATCGTCCCAAACGCTCGGGACCACGGCTCCTTTAGCTTCTGTTTCTGGAGGTCAGATTCCCATTGAGGGAGCCTGTGGGGGCGCCAGGCAGCCCCATGGCTTTCCCTGGCGCGACTCCTTTGCCAGGTGTACACACACCCTCCCTTAGCTTCAGCTGTGACCGCAGAGCCTTGGTACATGGGCATCGTGCCCGGACACCCCAGGAGGGGCGAGGGGTCAGCGGGTGTGCAGGGCCAGTTACCCTGCGGCTCCCCGGCTCCCCGGCTCCTCGGACGTGCCGCTGGGAACGGCGCGGGGGTGGCTGACAGCCCGAGCGCGCAGGCTGCTGTGTGTAAGTCTACGGAGAAAGCGCCTTTGGGTCTGTGGCTGCTCCCAGGTCTGCATCTGCCGGTTTATTTTATTTATTTTTTGTTAATTCTCACCCAAGCATCTTTTTCCATTGATTTTTCAGAGAGAGTGGAAGGGAGGGGGAGAGACAGAGAGGAACATCGATGTGTGAGAGAGACACACCCATTGGTTGCCCCCGCACGGCCGGGACCAGGGCCAGGGATCGAGCCTGCAACCGAGGTACAGGCCCTTGACCGGGAATCGAACCCGGGACCCTTCCGTCCTCAAACCGGCGTTCTCTCCACTGAGCCACACTGGCCAGGGCTGTGTGACCCTTCCAGGAGGCCTCCATCCGTCCACCCGTTGTTGGTACTTACTGTTGCCGGACCCGGCGTGTGCCGGGCAGAGCACCTGCGGGTGGGGGTGGGCTCTCACTGGACCCAGGAGTGGCCTTGAACATGTCACCTGGGTCCGGGAAGGTCAGCTCCCTGAGTGTCCTCCGCATCTTTGTCCCGGCAGGACTCGGCGCGGCGGGTGGAGCACAGGCGGGGCCTCTACGCGAAGGGAGAGCTGTGCTGCCGGGTCCCGTGACGAGAGGCTGGCGTGAACGCCGTGTGCGTGGCACAGGCAGCGACCTCGCCGCGGTGAGAAGCACGACAGCAGGTGCGTGCACCTCCGTGTCAGCCCCTGTCTGAGTCCCGCCCCCACGGCACCGTCCATGGTCACGGGTGTGACACGGGTGTCGCCCGGCTCGGTGCTGAGGACACAGGTGACTCCGGGCGGGAGCTCTGCAGCAGCTCGGCCGTGGCTGTGGGGCTTCGCTCCGGGAGGCGCCCCTCTGCCCCTTCTCCTTCCGTGGCCTCCCCACGCCCGCTCTGGGGCTGCTGTTCCCTGTGCTGAGGTTCCTGTGCCTCATCGAGCAGCTGTTTCTCCCAAAAGCTCCAGTGGCACCGCCCACGTGCCAGTCACCTTTCTGCTCACCCGACACCCACGTTCATGGCTTCCATTCTCCCTCCCCGTGGCCGTTCTCCTTCCGACGTGGGTGGGGACCCCGGGACCTGCGGCAGCGGGTACAGCGGGTGGCGGGCAGGAGCCGACGGCAGAGGGCTCCTGTGGAGAGCGGCCACAGCGTTTGGACAGGTTCAGGCCTCGGCCTAATGAGAGGGCCCGGTCCCCTCTCCTGGCAAAGCCACGTGCAGGTCCCGGCACAGTTATAGCCAAAGGCTGTGGCTGTGAGCTTGACCTCATGGCCCGAACCTGTGGTCCCAGGTGGCTGAGTGATGTGGGCTGCGGGAGGGGCAGTAAACAAAGCTTGATCAGGTGCATGTGATTGAGTGGATTCGAAACCCACGAGAACGTTATAAACATCTTGGCCACGCCCTTACTGTGCCTCATGGGATCTGCTATAAAATAAAGACTCGGCTTGCAGGCCCTGGCGCTGTCTCTCCATCAGAGAACAGCGTCCCACCCGGCCCAGCTTTCTTCTCTTGTCTGTCTTTTCTCTAATCCTCCACCGCCCCCCCCCCCCAGGTTCACCCATGGCCGTGCCGGCTCGGCCCAGGCTCCTTGCCACGCTGGCTCCATTCACGCGGCAAGACGGGGGCTCTGCTGTCAGTCAGAGGAGACCAGCTGCAGGTCCAAGAGCATCTGAGCTGCGCTGGCCTCCTCCCTGGGGGGAATCTGCCGCCAGGACACAGTCGAGAGGGGGCAGCCCCGTGGGGCCCGAGATCCTGGCGGCAGTGGCAGGGAGAGGTCTGCGCTTTGGGGACCATCTGAGCAGTGTCTCCCTCCTCAGGGCCATGGCTGCAAGATTCCGGCCCAGCGCTCCCCACACCAGTGCTGCCAGCAGCGTGGCCGCGGCCCAGGCCCAGGGGCAGTGGGGCCGCGCCTGGTAAGGATCCCGCCCGTCTTCCCGGCTGGGGACAGCGTGGGTGGTGGGGAGGGGGCCGGCCTCAGGCCTGTCCTAGACCATCACAGCGTCTCCTTGTCGAGGCTGAGGAGGGAAGCGGCCTCCGCTCTTATAAGTGCAGCCGGGAACAGAAAAGGAAGCTGGAAACGCACTCACAGCCCGGCGGGCGCCTGGATCTGAGGCCGCTGGCCTGGGTTGGGACTGAGGGGTGACTGCGCGTCCCCCACAGCCCACAGCCACCTCGCTGCGTCCAGACGCTGGGCCTGGGCTTCCTGTGGGTGCCCGATGTGCCCCGTGCACGGCCGGAGGGTGCACGTGGAGTGGCCGCCTCTCCGAGGTGCTGGCTGGCTGGCACACGGCCGTGGTGGGGAGGGCAGAGGGACAGCCGGCGTGACCATGACCGCGCCGCCACCGCACCGCCTCTGCAGGGAGGTGGACTGGTTCTCCCTGGCGAGCATCCTGTTCCTGCTGCTGTTCGCGCCCTTCATCGTGTACTTCTTCATCATGGCGTGCGACCAGTACGCCTGCTCGCTGACGGCGCCCGTGCTGGACCTGGCCGCCGGCCGCGTGCGCCTCTCCGACATCTGGGCCAAGACGCCGGCCGTGACGAAGGAAGCCGCCCAGATCTACGCCCTGTGGGTCTCGTTCCAGGTGAGGCCTCCCCGCTCGGGGTCAGGTGCATTGCGTGCCACCGGCGGCGCCGTCTGCCGGGGTGGCCGGGGCTTTGTCCTGGCAGCGCCTCATGGGGGCCCAGGTGTGCCCGGCCGCCTCCCCATGCAGAGGGTGCCCCCACGCCCGCCCGCGGGGGGAGCCGCCCGAGGTTGGGGCGGGCTGCTGGGCAGTGGGGAGCTGCGGACCTGGGAGGAGTAACCACCCCGCGTGGGGATCTTAGTCCGAGGGGCCTCCACAGCCGCCGCCGCGGGCACCGCCAGGCCCGGGTGGTTCAGCGAGACTCTCCCGCAGGTGCTGCTGTACGTGGCGCTCCCTGACGTCTGCCACCGGTTCCTGCCCGGCTACGTGGGCGGCGTCCAGGAGGGCGCGGTGACTCCCGCAGGTAACACCGGCTCAGCCGCATCAGATCCCCGTCCCCTCGTCTCGGGGCCCCTCCCCTGCTGCTCCTGCCCGAAGGCTTCTCACTCAGCGGCTTCACGGCACCCAGAGCAGCCGGGGCGCCCCGGGCCTGAGGTCGAAGGTCACGTTCTTCAGTGGAGGGACCTGAGTGGCCGCCGGCCCCACCGCTGGTGCCAAAACTGGGCTAGTGGAGCCTCTCTCAGCCCAGACACCGCGTGCCCAGCACCACGTGCCCAGCACTGTGTGCCCACAGAGGTGTCGGGGGCAGGGTGGGTGTGGGTGGGGTGTTTTTTAGGGGGAGGCTGTCTGTCCATTCGTTCCCCACGATCTCCAGGAACCCAGGGGCCCAGAGGGAGGGGCGTGCCCCGAGTCCCACAGGCCGTCCCCACAGCTTCTCCAGCTCAGCCCCGGGCTACGGCAGTGCAGGCCGGCCACTCAGCCTCTGGTGACCGAACCGACGAGGGCCCGCCCGCCACTGCACAACAGGGCCGAGCCCCGAGTTCTGGGGGGAGACGTCAGGCAGTTCATTGGCAGGGCACCACGCCAGGAGCCCAGGAAGCTATGGCTTAGACCCAAGCTCTCCATGGCTTTTAATGAAGGTTTTGAAAGGCAGGATCGAGGGGTGGGCGTCAGGGGGCGTGGGAAACCCATTGGCTGGTTCTGCGCGAGCCGCCCGGCTTTCCGGTGTCCAGCTCCTGGCATCGCTGTGGCCGAAGAGCCAAGACTCCACAAAACACCGGTGACTGCATCAGCGACGTCATCTTTTAAAATACACACATACCTTTATTGACTTCAGAGCAGAAGGGAGAGGGAGAGAGAGAGAAACATCAGTGCTGAGAGAGAATCATGGATCCGCTGCCTCCTGCACGCCCCCCACAACCCGGACATGTGCTCTCACCGGGAATCGAACCGTGACCTGGTTCCTAGGTCAACGCTCAAGCATGGAGCCGGTTGGGTGTGATGTCATCTTTAGAGCAAAAGGCAGAAACCAAACACCTTGTGGCCTTTGTTATGGCGAAGCTGTCAGTGCTTGGTGCTCAGCGAGCTCCGTTTCTCTGTCAACCTCAGCAAAGTGCCCTTTTACTAGCAAACCCCTCCGGGACGTGCCTTGCCGCAGGCCCCCAGGACCCTGCCCGCACCCCTTCGTCATCTTTGGGAGCCACGTGCGTGGCAGCCAAGGCGATAGGACAGTTAGTGGAGGCTGACACCTGCCTCTCAACTTGGATCTGATCCTAAACTTGATTCCTGTTGGCGCCGGTTCTGTGGCCGTCGGGAGAATCAGAACCAGAGGAACCATCTGGGCCCGCCTCTCCCCAGGTGGGAGGTGCACCCTGTGTCCTGCCTGGGCCTGGAGTCGCCGCAGAAGCCGGCCGCGCTCGGGGCTGGAGTCTGGGTGCCAGAGACCAGAGACCAGGCCCCCGAGCAGCTGAGGCCCCAGCGCCCGTGGGGCGGAGCCGGCTGCCTCAGGGCGGGAGCTCGCTCTGAGCTCCAGTCTTGCCTCCACAGGGGTCATCAACAAGTACGAGATCAACGGCCTGCAGGCCTGGCTCATCACGCACCTGCTCTGGCTCGCCAACGCCCGCTTCCTCTCCTGGTTCCCTCCCACCATCATCTTCGACAACTGGATCCCGCTGCTGTGGTGCGCCAACATCCTGGGCTACGCCGTGTCCACCTTCGCCATGATCAAGGGCTACCTGTTCCCCACCAACGCCCGCGACTGGTACGCCCACCCGTGCAGCTGGTCGCGCCGAGGGGAGCGCACGAGGCCACCGGCCTTGTCTGTTCCCTGGGACGGGGGCGGGTGGAGCCCGCGGGTTGCGTGTCCTTGAAGGGGGAGCGTCGTGGAACTGGGCTGATCTGGGAGCGTCCTTCTCAGTGTCCGGTGGCTCCTGCGCTCGGGAGGATGAGTTGGGGGGCCCGGCCTGCCTTTGGTGTCTGGGTCGGGAGCAGGCAGGTGGGAAGGCGACTTCTGTCCGCAGGCGAAGACGGCGCTCGGCCTCTTTCTCCGGAACATCCGTGTGGCCGGAGCATCTCATGAGGGGACTTGTCATTTCAGCGGCTTTAAGAGAGCAGCTTCCCACAGGGAGTCCTTCCTTTCCCGGGGACGCCTGGGATCGGATTGTTGCCATCCACCCATCTATCCACCCATCATCCATCCATCTCTCCATCCATCCATCATTCATCCATCTCTCCATCCATCCATTTCTCCACCCATCCATCCATCATCCATCCATCCATCCATCATCCATCGATCTCTCCATCCGCCCATCATCCATCTCTCCATCCATCCATCATCCATCCATCTCTACATCCATCATCCATTATCCATCCATCATCCATTATCCATCCATCATCCATCCTTCTCTCCATTCATCTGCCCATCAACCATCTCTCCATCCATGGATCATTCATCCATCCATCATCCATCCATCTCTCCATCCATCCATCTTCCATCCATCTCTACATCCATCCATTCTTTTCTCCATCCATCCATTCACCATGCACCCCAGCCCCCCCCTCCCCATTTTCATCCTCCTCCTCCCTCTTCATTCATTCATCAGCAGATGTAGTTGGGTTCTCCGTAGACAGGTGTCGGTAGTGGGCTTCAGGCATGAATAAGATTCTTGTTCTGGGGGGGAGTGCTTACGTTTTAGTCTGGGGCCCAAACAAAACCAAAGTGTGTTCCCTTGGCCTCTGCCGCCCGGGCGCGGGCGATGGGCGGACGGTGGTGCCCAGTGTGGTACCAGGTGGTGAGGCGGCTCCTGTGGCTCAGGGAGGCCGCTGTGCGGCTTCATGGTCACGGCGCCTGCTGCGGACTCGCACGTTTCCTTCTGTCCCCTTATCCCGAGGGCAGCGGACAGGACGCTGTTGCCGTAATCGGCACAGAAACCTGTGTGCGCAGTGAGGTACCTCCCGGGCCTCCACCTGGGGGTCTGGGCGGAGTCTGGTCACCCCTGGAGAGGCCTGTGGGCTCAGGTAACAGGGTGGCTAACGGTTAAGCTTGTTGGCGCGGGAAGACGGCCGGGCGCTGCACTGGCTCAGGGCGCAGTGCCTTTTTACTGCTGGTCTTGGCATCCGGGGTCACTTCCAGTCACACGCGCGGCTGTGGACGGAGCACAACTTCAGTCCATTTGAGCGTCTCGCCCTCCCCTGTGCTGGGCCTCGCGGGCCCTGGAGGAGGAGGCGGGCACCTGGGTGCGGCCCCAGGAAGCCCTAAGCCGGGTGCCTGTCGGCCGGGCAGCTGCAGAGACAGCCAGGGGCCGCGGGGAAGCAGGAGGGCGCTGCGCTCTGCGCTCTGTGATGTGCTCCGTGGCTCGTTCCCGCCTCCGCCCAGATCACCGGCCCCCTCAGCACCACGGTGGGCTGAGCGCACGTGCCCGGCGCCCGAAGGAGGCCCGGGTGCGCCCCACACCCTGGACCGATGGTGTCCTTTCTTTATATTTTCCAGCAAATTCACGGGCAACTTCTTCTACAACTATATGATGGGCATTGAGTTCAACCCCCGGATCGGGAAGTGGTTCGACTTCAAGCTGTTCTTCAACGGGCGCCCGGGCATCGTGGCCTGGACGCTCATCAACCTGTCCTTCGCGGCCAAGCAGCGGGAGCTGCACGGCCACGTGACCAACTCCATGGTGCTGGTCAACGTGCTGCAGGTACCGTGTGGCCACTGGGGGAGCAGGAACCCCCCCCTCCCTGGGTGTGTGTGGGCGCGGGCTGGCCAGCGTGGAGTGGGCGCTCCAGTGCCGCCCTGGCCACGTCCCCAGAGCACGCCCGCTACTGGCTCATGTGTGTTCTGACCACTCCAGATCCGTCAGTGGTCCTGGCCACGTCACACCCGTGGCCTCCGCAGCGGTTCCCACGTGTCCTCCCCCGCCCCCCCCGCCAGGTTGTCGCCGTGGGTCTCAGGTGACCTCAGGGTGGGAGTGAGGAGCGTGTTTGTACCTCTGTCCCATCCGTGTAAATGGACGTTGGTCTCCTCTACCCCGTGGGCCACAGCGTCTCCCACCGTGCTGGCCACGTGACGTACGCCGTGGTGTGCAGGGACCGCTGGCAGGGCTTAGGCTGGACGCCCCGTGGGCAGGTCGGCCATGCCACGTGCACTGGGTTATGTGCCCCTCTTCCCCGAGACGCCTCCCTCTGCGGGGGGCCCCACGGCCTGGCCGTACCTCCAGGGAGGATGTGGGTCACCTCCTTGTCTTTTGAGAGTCCGGACTTTCCCCTCCGGGGACAAGCCTCCCCCTCCCCCCAGGCCCCAGGGCGGGGGGGGGGGGGGGCGGGCAGTGCCGGGACAGCCCAACCCAGGGGCTCATGACATGGGAGCCCAGCGCGCCCAGGGCCCCTCAGCTCTGCGACCCCCCCACCCCGACACACACACACACACACACACACGGGTGCGTGGTGGCACGCGGCTGCTCTGTCCGCAGGCCATCTACGTGCTGGACTTCTTCTGGAACGAGGCCTGGTACCTGAAAACCATCGACATCTGCCACGACCACTTCGGCTGGTACCTGGGCTGGGGCGACTGCGTCTGGCTGCCCTACCTCTACACGCTGCAGGTGAGCGCCCGGCCCTCCGGCCGACCCGGCGAACATGCCCAGCTGTGTGCCCGCGGGCGGAAGCTGGAGGGAGGGGTTAGTGTGGATCAGCTCTGGCCAGAGCCCCACGGGCACTCACTGCCCGTCCTGGAGCCCGAGACCCAGCGTCCCAGGGCTGGCTCCTCCCAGGGCCTCTCTCCGGGCGTGTGGGCGCCGTCTCCGCCCCGTGTCCCCACAGGGTCCCTGTGCGTGTCTGTGTCCTGATCCTCTCTTCTCATGAGGACCCCAGTCACCCTGGATTAGGGGGACCCCCGTGACCCCATTTTGCCTCCATCACCTGATTAAAGGGCCCAACTCCACACCCAGCCACATGCTGGGGGGCTGGGGGTCAGGGCTCCAACGTAGCGATTTGGGGGCCACACTCGGCCGCAGCACTTAAAGAAGAAGCCCAGTGGGCCCTGGGTGAGGAGTGGTTTGGGGGAGCTGGGCGGTGGAGGGGGCACATCCTCGTTTACCCGAATCTTCACACTGAAGGGCAGGGCGTCTCCTTCCTGTCCCGTCATCACTTCACGGGAGTCCGGGAGGCCCCGGCGTGCGGGGTGCAGGAGCGAAGGGGACGCCCCCTCGGGGTCACCGCGGGGGGGGGAGGCAGCCGGGCAGGAGGGGTGCTGACCCTGGGAGGGCACCCCCCACCAGCACGGGGTCGGCACGGCGGGCTGAGAGCACGTGGGCTGGGCTGAGAACATTCCGGAAAGATGGAGGAGCACCTGTCAGGGAGGGGTGTGCAGGGAGCAGAGGGGGGCCTTGAGGCACCCCGGTTCTGTGTGGCCGCCACAGAGGACGTGGGGGTGTGGGGGTGGCAGGACGAGCTGCCAGGCGGGAGGCTGGGGAGTCAAACAAGCCCGGCGCCGGCTGAGCAAGCGCTGATGTGGCCACACCCAGGAGACGGTCAGCCGCACAGCGTGACGCCCAGGGGCTCAGCTACAGCCTGGGCTGCATCTCTACTGCACGTGACGTGTGTGTGTGTGTGTGAGAGAGAGAGAGAGAGAGAGATACGTGTGTGTGCGCGCGCGCGCGCAGGTGGAAGACAGGTAGGTAGACACGCAATTTGTGCGTTTACACTTGATCCCAACAAGTCTCCAGGCAGGTGCCTTTATTTGCGGAAGAGGAAACCCAGGTAGGCAGGCAGGCAGGCAGGTGGGCAGGTTGGGGGACAGAGCCAGGGCCTGAACCCTGCCCCCGCCTGCCCTGACCCCCCTACTCCCGACCCTGCCTGTCCTGACCCCTGACCCCGCCTGTCGCCCGCAGGGCCTGTACCTGGTGTACCACCCGGTGCAGCTGGCGGCCCCGCACGCGGCGGGCGTGCTGCTGCTGGGCCTGCTCGGCTACTACGTCTTCCGCGTGGCCAACCACCAGAAGGACCTCTTCCGCCGCACGGACGGGCGCTGCCTGATCTGGGGCCGCAAGCCCAAGGCCATCGCCTGCGTGTACACGTCGGCCGACGGGCAGCGGCACCACAGCAAGCTGCTGGCCTCGGGCTTCTGGGGCCTGGCCCGCCACCTCAACTACACGGGCGACCTGCTGGGCAGCCTGGCCTACTGCCTGGCCTGCGGCGGCGGCCACCTGCTGCCCTACTTCTACGTGGTCTACATGACCGTCCTGCTGACCCACCGCTGCCTGCGGGACGAGCACCGGTGCGCCAACAAGTACGGCGGCGACTGGGCGCGCTACACGGCCGCCGTGCCCTACCGCCTGCTGCCCGGCATCTTCTAGACGCCTCCCGGGGCCTGCCCAGCAGCCGGGGGCCTCGGAGCCGGGCTGTGGGCCGCCCTCCCTCCCCACTCCAGAAGCCTCGTCTCGTCTGCAAACTGCGAAGCACCTGGCGTGTTTCTGGCCTCGTAAATGTCAGCGTGTCCCTTCCCGGGCCCGGAGGCTGCAGCGCCCGCGGCCAGCTTTCTCTGTCCGGAGCTCCAGGCCGGGGGGCTGACCGCCTCTCCCGCGGTCTGTGGTTGCTCCGCTGCGTGGGCCTGTGGCCTGGGACGCCGTCCGGCCCTGGTCCGGACGGAGGTGGCTCTTGCTGATTATGGGGGGAAGGCACGCCCGTGACCGTTTCACTGCTTTAGCCCCAGCGCCGCCCGGGCACCTGCCCTGGGCAGTGGGCTGCTCCCTCTGCGTCTCGTGCAGCCAACACGGCGCTGAACGGTGGTGGAGAGGCTGAGGAAGGGCTCCCAGGCCAGGGGTGCCCTTGGCTTCCCGTGTGGCTCACGCCTGCCAGGGGTGCGGTGACACAGAGCCAGGGCGGGTGCCCAGACCCAAAGTGAGGCCCAGTTGCGGCCGAGGCTCCCAGTGCCCGACGCCCTCTGGCGCCTGCCCTCCGGGAGGGCGTTTCCAGCTCGCTCGGACTGGCTCGGGCACCCACCACATGGGGGCCTCCCCGGGCCTCCAACGAGGTGTGACCCCGGCCTCGGGCAGGGCACCCCCTCTCCAGTGAGCACACTCTCCCTGGGGTGTTCTTGAAACTTGGCGTCCCTGCCTTAGTAGATAATGAATTCTTTATATTAAACTTTCCAGATCAAACTTCTGTGTGGTTTCTGACTCCCCTCCGGCCGGGTCCCGTCTGCCGGGCCGCCTTGTGCTGGGCCTGGGGAGGTACCCCAGCTTGGCCGCCTGCCCCCCAGGCAAGTGAAGGGAGACGCCAGCCACTGGTGCCAGGCCCGCACCCCGCCTGGAGGAGTGAGGAGTAGGGCAAGCTGTGAGCTCCATGCCCACGGCCTGGACGGGGAGAGGACAGACCTGGGGGGCTCCCCTTCAAGTCACAATAGGCTGAACCAGGATGGGGTCCCCCCGATAACTGCAGAACAGTTTCCCAACACCAGTGCCCCCTGCCCAGCCCTAACTGGTTTGGTTCAGGGGATAGAGTGCCAGTCTAAGGACTGAAAGGTCCCAGGTTCGATTCCAGTCAAGGGCATGTATCTTGGTTGTGGGCACATTCCCAGTAGGAGGTGTGCAGGAGGCAGCTGATCGATGTTTCTAATTCTTTATCCCTCTCCCTTCCTCTCTGTAAAAAATCAATAAAATATATTTTTCAAAAGTAAAATCCCTTATATCGGCTTTCGGGCGGGGCCCACACGAGGGGAGGCCTGGCCCTGCCGTGACCTTGGCGGGTGTCAGGTCACAGCACCCAGTTTCTCTCCGGGATCCATCCCTTTGGCGCCTCCATGATCCCCAGATGGGCCGAGCGCCTCCTGCTCTGAGGAGAGTCCCTGTAAAGTTCCCGGGGGGTGGGGGGTCAGGGCAGGCAGGAGCGTCACTG